ATATTTCGATTAATGCGTTTATCAAAAATCCTTTGAATACATAGAATAGATGGCCCACTTTAATCAGAATTCGCGTTCAGAATCCACAAAGTGCGTATTTTTTAATTTTTCCCTTCGTTTTTCTCTTAGAATTAAAAATGATAAACTGTGGTCGAAAACGTACTACGGTTTACATCGAAACATTACCACCGCAGCTAAAAAGACCATGTAGTTCTGCACAGATTTTATTTTCCGACCTGACATCAAGGAAAGAACAAGCAATATAACAGTGTTGGGTTTAAGTAGATGCTAAAGGAAAAGTGAACTCTTACATTATGGTGGCAGGGAATACTTATACCGAACGTTTAAGTATTACCTTATCGCCACCCAGTTTGGTCAGTGAGTGGTAGATCGGAGACTTTTGCAAAACTGAATTTACACATCAGCAGGGATACCTCACAAAGAAAAGTGAACTTTTACAAAAGGACTTTCGTGTCTACAAAGATAAAATTTGAGGAAATTTCACAGTCTGTGAACCATACGAAGTCCCATTTAACGTCTAACCATTACACGGTAGTTCCAGAAAACCAGATTTTCCTTGCTATTTTCACTTCGGACGCGACTTCCGCACCATCGATTCCCACGAAGGAGATGTCGTAGTTGTTCTTGGTCAAGGGGTCTTGAACCTCTCCAAGCTCAATCTTTGGTGAACCAGAGATGCTCGGAATCTCCACCTCGGTTCCATATCTGAGCAACAAGTCCACCACCTTCTCCGTGCCAACATGATCAGGGACGCCATCAAGCTGAACCACCTTTTAAGATTGAACGGAGAGAATTATCTTCAAAAAATTGTGTCCTGGGGCAAGACAGTGCACTATCACGAGGATCATCTTAAACCAGAGGCATAAATGGAAAAACGTCACTTGGCAGAGAAAAATATGGAATAAAATAACATGCTGTTCAAGGAGTAGGAAAATGGCATTTGGCTGTATGCGGACTCATTTAGTAAACAAAAACTCTTGTGCAGGGTCGTAACCAGGGAGGCCAGGGGTGAGCATCTTACCCCTCTCCCCTGTAAGGTAGTGATTCAAGTGGTGAAAAAACAAGAATCCTAAACCTTTTCCGATGTTAGACACTCTGTAATTTTCCGGTTTGTCTCCTCCCCCCGCGTGAATATATGAGCCCGCGCGAAAGCCACTCCACGTTGAGGTGGGGAAATTTGAAACCATACCCCCCTAATCAATTAAATTTAGCTGAGCTCCTTTTCTTACGTGAAGTTGATGACGGTGGTTGTCAGAAATGTTGATAAAACACTTTCTTGTAGCGGTTACCATGTAAATTTTAATCTCTGAGAAGAAATCGTCTGTATATGAGACTTTCTTTAGTTAGCTAAACCAAAAAAGTCATTTACCTGAAAGAAATCTGGACTTTTGGTCGGAATGTGAAACAGGAACACACTCTCCTTGTCGCCATACATGAAGTAGTTAGCGTGATCTGGGTAATCGCCCTTGTCAAAGTGCTCGTAACGTGGAACATCAATGATCTTCATCTCTACAGACATGAATGGATTCTTGTCATGATCAGAAGGCATACCAACGAAGCAATCGAACTCTTCCTTTTCACCAGCGTACTCGGACTCTTCAAAGAAGATTTCGTGGAACCTTTGTCTTTTGCTTCTAAACACGATTGGCTGAGGCTCACTGCTGGCCTTAGGCAGTTTTTCTTGCATGGAAATATACTTTTCGGCGTCTTTGTCTTGGAGGAACTTCAGTTTCACCACGTTGTCATACTGCTTGGAAACATTGTTGAAGTCTCCGATGTAAGATGCGATCACTTCGTTCTCCTGATTGACAACTCCTGTGGTGACAAAGTTGTGGAGAACTTTGGCATCGGTGCACTGAAAAAGAGGTATTAAAGATAAGGACAAGAGCTAACTTAACTGACAAAAAGCGTTTCCATTCCCGCTCCCACCCAAGAAACAAGATATGATACTTCCTCACCGTTCCAATTGCGTTAAGGATTGCATTCCTCAAAATGTCACCCATGTCGTCTAAGAATTCTGTGGACGTGGCCCATGGATCCATGCAGGTTGTGATGATGTATTTGACAGGTGTGTCATTGTCGTGTTCCAACTAAATTTCAAAAGAAATGATAAAGATATATTGCCGTGAACGAAGAAAAGATTAAAAGCAATCTGAAATCCAAGTTGCATTCGTCTTGACTTCACGCCGCGATTGGTCAAGAAAATTCGCGCCATTCTCTGGACCAATCACAATTAAACCTATCGCGTCTTGGTTAATCGTGTTCTTCCACACTTCATTAAGTTCGGTTTTTACTGAGAGTTGTTATTGGCTCCGTTTGACATCTAATATTCCTCTGATTAACCATAGTAAGCACTTTTATGATTTTGGGTTCTGCTACTCCATCGACAAGTGCTGTAACAGAGAATCACACGGCTGCAGTTGTATGCGCTAAGCTCAGAAAAGCGATGGTAATAACCCTGGATTATCATCGGCCCTTAAAGACATTTGTCATTATGTATCTTAACCCCCATATATAGCCCCATGATTCCTACCCCTAATCTTTTCTTGAAATTCAGAACAGCAGCACTGTGTTTATGGGGAACCAAACTTGATGCTGTCACAATCATTGGAACTCGACGCGCGGTGTGCTCGCTAGATGTGTGACACAGGTCCTGGAATAGTGCCAAGTTGATCTCATTGCACTTTTCAACACTTCTGTTTCCTTTCAAGTTGACAGAAAAACACGGTATCATGGTGTCGGGACCAACCTCCAGGAGATACTCCATAGCTTCTTCATCCTGTAAGTTAAAGAGGCAGCAGGTTATTTTATAGCCAGAATTTTTTTCTTGTTAGATATCAAGATACGATACAGACAATCTTTGAGCAATTAATTGAACTTCACAAAGTACTCCACGCCTCCTGAAATAATTTTCATTAAAAAATTGTTAAAACCCTCACTTGACTGATATTCTCTTCCAACATGGCAGAGGTAATGTCAGGTGAACTCATTCTTCCGGCCCGATTCAGTAAATTCCTCATCAGAAAAATACGTGACTCTGTACGTGGATCATTGAAAAAAAAATACCTTAACGAGTTCTTCGTTGCTTTTCCCCAGAATCCTCTCTCTAATAAACTCCTTTTGCTGCTTTTCTGACATCTTTTTGTATATTTTTGGAAGCGATTTCGTCGTTTCCAAGACAAAGGTGTCATCGTCCTGAGCTAGTGTTACCCACAGGCAGTACATGATCTTGGCAGTAAACATGCATTCAGCTAGGATACGACCGTAGCCATTCTTGTCGAGACCGATGACCTACATATGATCACATACGAAGCAAGCAATTACATACCAACAACACAACTTCTGCGTCTTCAAATTGCTTAAAAATCTTGGAACATTATATGATTTTAAGGATTGAATGAAAAATATTCTTGTCACTCAATTAAATGAGGACTATTTTTGGGATCATTTATGACCAGCGTGGAACTAAGACAAATAGTCTGAAAGCAAAAATTGTCTTTCTCCCAACAAGTGACTTCGTAGCTTGGTTGGTTGAGGTGCCAAATCACAATCAGGAAGGCACGGTTTCCTAATCAGACTCTATAGAATTAGTTCGAAGTCTAAATTTTTTTCTAGAATGCATTCGCTTAAACCGCAATTTGTTAGAGAGGATCTATTCATCACATTTGGTACAGAACAACGGGTCAAATTAATATAGTACATATACTTATTGCAATGAAAAACCTCAATTGTAGTTCAGATCCATGCCGGAATATCCCCGACAGTGTCCGTCTTTTTTTTTTTTTTTTTTTTTTTTTTTTTTTTAAGAATTGAGGAATTTTTTATTTGGAAAGCTAGAGGAAGGGCAGGTTTGTATCTAAGGACTGGTTATCATTATTCCTTACTTTGGGCTGGTGGTGGGGGGGGAGAAGAGGTTTTGTTTCGTGTTTATGTAACAATAAAATTTACCTTATCCCCTGTAACATCCTTATAATCATTCCCCCCCCCCATCTCATGCCGTGAATTTTCTATAGTTCCTCCCTTTTATACTCTGTGTTGATCCTGATCCCCTCACCGTCCTCCCTGAAAGCCATATGATCCTTCCCCATAAAAAAAATCATCTTCCCCTTCCCCTTCCCCTTGCCCCCCTCCGACGTGATAAACGACGAGTGAACTCTCACCCTGTTTGCCAACATGACCCCAGCGGCAGCAGCTCCTGGTTTGGATCCTTCGATACCGATGTCTCCAAGTCTCATGTCTCCATGATAATACACAACAGTGGTGGTGATCTGAAGAAAGGTGTTCATCAACTTGTCTCTGTAGCATAATGCTCCAGCGGGGTAAGGACAGAAGCCAGATTTGTGTGGGTCAATAGTGATGGTATCGCACTGGTCCATGGCTGACAACTGCTCTTTAACATATGGACTCAGCCACAACTCGGGAACAAATCCCTCGCTACCAGCGGCTACAAGGTTACTCTTAGGATCTCGTAACATGCTACAGAAGTATCCTCCCCAAGCCCCGTCCGCGTGCAAGCTGAAGCAAAGGCCCTGTATGACGATAAAGAAGAGTGAATGAAATAGCTTGGCGCCCCAGCATCGTGATTGTAATGTGAGATAACATTGAGGTTTAACCTTTCGTCTTAGATTTTAAGAAGAAGTAGGGATACGTGAGGCCGGAGAAAAAACATAATTGCAACCTGACCTAAGAGCGGTTTTAAGTGCGAAGAAATTCGTAAGTTAGTCATTTGAAGTACGTTTAAGTAAGAACAAACATGATCCGCTCCTCTGGAGTCCTTGGCCTGACGACAGCATTATCCCAAGCCAACCTGCTCCACAACTGCACTTACGTAATTCCGAATTTAAAAAACGTCGTTCAATCATGTTTAAATTTGAGAAAGGCTCCAGTTTCAGGCTCAAAATATGGGCAGAACTACAGTAGAACCTCGGTTACTTGCACAGAAGCCCCGTTTCCAGTTATTTACTACTTATTCAGGCAAATCGAACTCTTTTTTGTTTCCCCTGGGAGTTCGAATTTGAGTTAGCGGGGTTCTACTACAGAAAAGGCTCATTCTGTTCAGTTAGATGTACCTTAGCTCTAAACTTTTCTCGAAGTTCCAAAATCGCTGCGAGTGGATCCACCGCGCTCTCTTCTGTTGTACCCATAACAGACACAACTGTAATCACCGGAATCTCGTTTTTTAGTTTTTCCTGCAAAATTCTTTCCAGATCTGAAAAAAGACAGCACGTGCAAGGTGAGATTCATTCGAATGCTATAAGTAAATTTTAAGTCGTGGACGTCAGTGAAACAGTTCAAAGTAGCCGGATTGGGTCTATCGGCCTACCTTCCTTCCTCTTCCAGAAAGGGTTTTGGATCAAATATTAATAAGCACGGCTTTAGACTTTTGTAGCGCAAACAGTGAAAGTTAAGCCAAGTAAGTTTTCGTGCTCATTTTTTCTTTACCTTGTCTACTTTGTCGTTCTCTTACACTCAAACCTCAAAGTTATATCGAGCATCATAATGAACAAACCCTTTGGTTCCATCCGAGCATCTTCGTCAACTGCCACAGTGACGAGGCTCTCTCGTCCCAGTCCTAGAATTGTAACTGCTTTGGTAAGGGATATGTGTGCTGTGCTTGGTACAATCACACAAGGACTCTGTGTCAACATGTGGCGGCGAGCAAACTCTTGCGCTCCAACAGATTCATAGAGATACTGGCCCATGACGCCCATGAACTCTTGATGCTGGAGACCAGTTAAATCTTCCATGTCTTTTGGCATTCTTAGAATGGTGTCGACGTCAAGATTGAGGAGTTCCCATTGGGAAGCACTCTGAAGTTCTCCTTTTTCTCCTCCTCTTTGAGGAAAGGTTATCTAATCAGGAATTAAGCATGAAAGATATAGCTCTCAGGTGAACAGCACTCAGGTGAGCCAGGTTACTTCTACAAAATCGCTTGGTGTGATTATAGACGATAGGCTCGATTGGCATAGTCACATCGAAAAATTAACAAAAAAGATTGCCTCTGGTATCGGGTGCCTAAAGCGAGTCAGGCATCTGATCCCAGCATCGACCTTACATCTGCTTTACCAAGCTTTAGTAAAACCTCACTTTGATTACTGTGACATTGTCTGGGGTAGCTGTGGGATAACGCTACGAGATAAGCTGCAGAAATTACAGATTAGAGCAGCCCGTGTTTTGACATTTTCCAGCTATGATGCCGATGCAACTAAGCTACTTGAATTTTTAAGTTGGAAAAATCTGACAAGCCAGCAGGAAATTCATAGAGTTACCATGGTTTTCAAATGTCTGCACAGGCTAGCTCCTGAATATCTTAATTCTAAGTTTAGATGGCGTAACTCTGCTTAGGACCTCAGGGACTCTGAAAATAAACTCAATGTTCCTCTACCTCGCACTAACTATTATCGAAAAAGCTTTAGCTATAGTGGAGCCACATTATGGAATAGTCTTCCATGTGATATAAGGAACACAGAGTCTCTGGGGTTGTTTAAACGCAAGATCAATGCCACTCTATAACGCACGGCATTCACGGAAAACAGCTTTTAGTTATTAGTTAGTGTTTTAATTTTTAAATAGTTTTAGTTAATGTAATTGCTGATGAATTGTTTCGTGCTTAAATAAAGATAAATAAAGATTATCATTATCAACTGGAAATTGTTTTCCTTTTTTTCAGTAGAAAACTGTTAAACATATCCTTTAAAGCGGGCCAAAAGTTTTCCAGCATGGAATTGGCTTTTGTCGGCACAGAATTTTAGATCGGGTCGTTTGAAACTTGAGAACATCAAGCCATCAAGCTATCAAGCATGGCTATCTTCCGAGCAGTCTTCTTAACAAAAGTAATGATGGTAGTGACTATGATAATGATAAAAATAATTGAAATCATTAGATATATTAACCACTTCGATTCCGAAAAAGTAATCAGTAGATCTACCTGAGGAAAGGATTTAATGTTCCCATGAAAATCTTATCCGTTGATATAAATGAGAATTACGTTTTGAACGAGTCCACCTTACAAAAGCTGAATGACAGCGCTAAAAAACACAGTAGCTGACGCCAATTTCGTTTTGAAAGTTATTAAAGTCTTTTCCCTTAAGTATATTCACCTTATAACTTCTAGCAGCAGCAAGTTTTTCTTCCTTCAGCAAAGCCTCCTGCAATCCTAATGGAAAGTATTTGACATTTCTTCCAGCCCAAATTGCTTCAATGTTGGCCACAGACCCACCAGCAGTGAGGTGACCCATGGCTTTATCGCCATCATATCCCATCATGATACACAAATCCTTCCCAACTTCCACCTCGAATTTTGTGGTAACAGTCGATGCCTCTGCTGCGCAGTTGTTCTGGTTAAACAACATGGCAGTCATATAGCCAAGGTTAGCTGGCATGGCTGTCTCCCAAAGAACGTGTCCCTGGAGACAGAAGAAATATATAAGCTGATTTATAAAGTGTTGTATAGTACTTTGTTCATTTGGTTAACCAGACCCATAGAATAGGGGGAGGGGGGAGGTAGGTTTCTGAAGGAACTGTGGTGCTGCATCGGTGGGAGAGTATAACAGGGTAATTAAGTAACATAGTGTCTTGCTGATAACAAGCGGAACCTTGGGCACATGCCATGACCAATTTGTCGTCTAACTGTACCTACATATCAACATTTTATTTATGATTGAAGAAAGGGTGGCATGCACCTGAGAATGCCGATCGAATGATACTTGGCCGCCAAGTTACGAAACTGAGAGGCTGGTGTTTATGAGAACGTAAGCAAGAAGGATATCCTCAAACACAATCAGGATGAGGCGAACAATTACATGGAGGAAAAAATACCTTGTATCTAGAGCTAAAAAATGGCACAGATTTCTCCAGGTCTTTCTGCAAGTTGTCCACTTCTGTCTTCAAATGTTCCATGGAATTCTTAAAAGATGCAGCCTCTCGGAGCTCATCCGTCACATACGGTGGATCACAGGGGAAATAGCTTGAGTATCAAAATGCAAACTTGGTCACTTTTGCAGCTATGACTGAACTTGAACGACTAAGCAATTGAATAAGGTATTTGTTCACTTTCATGGTTAAAGAATTGTCTGCTTCTTGAACAAATGCAGTCAAGAACAGACCCTATTTCGTGCTTAATGGAATTTATGTGTATATTGCCCTTGAGGTAACAACAAACCTCGTCCATGCATAGAATGTTTCATGCTGTCACTCAAATTGCCTGTTAAAGCGTTTTCTCTGCTGGTGGCAAAAATTCCGTAGGAAGGGATGATAAACGAGAAGTAATGGCTTTCAAGAGAGAATAATGGAACCCTATTTTAATTTCTCTTTCTTTTGAAGAACTCACTTGTGACGAAATGCGATATGATGGTCGACAGCTCCCGTCAAAAGGTCTCTAAACACATCTCCATTTTCCGCTTTGGGCCCTAGGAACCAGGCTCCCAGGGCTGCCCAATGGTCATGTTTGCCTTTTTTATTACCTCCACGGTACAGAACTTCTCGCCGCGGAGTGTACATAGGGGCCTTGGACAGTCGAGGCTTCTTTCCTCCGGAGCCAACGGCTTTTTGAGCGGTTCTTTTCTGGCGTGGCCGAAACATGGTTTCAGTGTTTCCTATGAAATCTTAACAACAGGATAGTCGTATATTAGGGTTGGATTAGCGGATAGAATTCATTTTTCTAGGTGGATACTCACAGTTGTGAATAAAAATTGAGGCAACAGATTAACCCTTTAACTCCCGTGAGTGACCAAGACAGAATTTCTCCTTACTATATCTATACAATATCATGCAGACAAGTGATGAGAATAAGAAATAAATCCATTATGGGATTACAAATTGATCCGATACCCAATTCTCCAAACTAACATAATGAGAATCATTTGGCAGACAGTAAGGAGAATTACTAATGAGATCATGAGAGTTTAAGGGTTAATGTCAGTATCTAACTGTGCACCTACCCCTCCCCTAACCTAACAACAACCCTAAGTTGTTAACAAATAACTGTTGATGGGTTGGGGAGGGAGGGGTGGCTGCGTACTTACTTGGCCACGGACATTAATCCGAGATTACTAAGCCAGACGTCCACTTATTTTAAATCCAGGCTCGTAGATCACGTTTCCTCTTTCAATGTGGTTTTGCTCAGAAAAATAACCTCCAAGTCCCTTTTTTTTTTCACCGATATCTCCCTACTTCACAGCTCCTTTCGTAAATTTGAAGTGAACCATAAAAACGAACAATTAGGAAAGCGTGCATCTAAGATTTTCATGCACGTTCTAGAATCAATTTATTTTACATTCATGTGCAAACAAGTATTATTAGATCAGATAAACAAAAAAACGATTTTTTAAACTTCATAGTCCGAAATGACAAAACAATGACAAAAACAATATATTTCCACTGGGAAAACAGATTTCTTTTACAATAGTATGAAGCTGTGCGGAAATTTTACCTAATATATATATATCTCGAGATACACTTATTTTCTATTGACATCACCTGATCTGTCGTCTTAATAGACTGACGAGTGATTTCCTAAGACGCGAGCAAGAGTTATCGCCAAAATGGGCCTATTTGTAACCTCGCGGCTAAAAAATGATGATTCTGTCTTGCAGTCGTTTAAAAAATTAATTAGCAGCCTGTATTAGGTTCCCTAAGCAAGAACAATGCCGTCTTATTGCCCAAAATAGATGTATTAGTTGATTATCAGATTACCACCGAACAGTATATACGAGTTTTGAGTTTAATGAAAGCTCTAGATCTAGCGTTGGCAGCTGATTTCCACACAGGCATTTGAATTCAATATACATGCATTGCTAAAATATAATGTGTGATTTCGATTCATAGCCTAAAGTGTTTGCAATTTGTACATGAAAACGCGCCCGGTTGGATAATTGTAGTCGGCGGGTCGCGTTGGTACAACTAAGCCATAATCCCTTCAAATAAAAAACTATCGAATCTGCACACACTGAAAGTGAATCACAGAATAAAAATTCCTGCAAAGATACATTATTTATAGTCTTATGTACCATTCAGACATTGTAGCTGGATTTTTAACAGCGACAGGGTGCTCTGAAAGTCCACGAGGATAAGTTGCATTAAAAAGTTTGAGGATGAGAATTCAAGATGCAAAGTATTGTTAGAAAACCCTAGGCCCTAAAACTTTTAGCTTACTGCATGACCAACTACTGGGCTCAAATAATTTACCGCAGACCATACACTTTAAAGGACTGAACTAAGCCATAACAAATTAAATATTTCGTACATCAATAAATGTAAATTTCTCAGAATTGACTCGCGTTTTCGTCAGCGCCGTCTAGTGCCAACGTTTAGAACTTCACAAAGGCCTCACTAGTGTTATTTTGAATTCTATAGCTTAGATAATTCTTCAAAGACCATAAGAGCACGTACTCCTTACCTGGAATATATCGGAGCCTTGCAAAGCTGTTCTGCACAAGATGAGCGCTGCTTTAATGAGCATAATAAGTTGTAGGCGTGGCTAACCTCTCCAGGGACTGCGCCCTGTTCTTAAGTAAGCCAGTGGTCAGACAAGCAGACGAGGCTGAGTAGTCAGAGACACCACAGAACTTAAAAGTTTTCGCTTCGCACATATTTTGGACCTAACCATGCGCTGCCTTCAAAAGAATCTTCCCGTCAATTTATTCAGTAGCATTATTCGAACTGGAAGACAAAAGAGTTTTTGCGCGAATCGGGAGCTCCTGGAATAAATTGCAGTACAGCTGTTTGTGCCGACTTTCCTTAATCTCACCTCTACTAATCATTGTCTAGGCGTCAATTTGAACAAATCGTGTTCCCTGAGGATGCATATCAAATCCCCTTTATCGAAGCTGTGGAAACGTATCTTTCGTGTCTCTTGTCCGATTTACATAACCATGGACCATCTATTCAGATAAAACTACGCATCGTAAATGAGCCGCAACAGCGGAATGCAAAGTATAAGGACTTGTCGCTTTGATTAATTGTCACAGATGAAACGAGTTGACAGAACGACTGAAATTTTTTCAATGGCTGCAAATGCTAAGAAAGAACCCTTTGTCGGTATTGTTTATACCGGTCTAATTCTTACATAAATGCTGTGTTATTTGGGAGAAAACATTTCTGTACGTTAAAGTTCAAAAAATGCGGACTCTGATGTTCGCGAGCCGGTTGAGCCTTGTAACAACAGTTTGACCATACTTTTCTCGCAAATAAAATATATTAAAGTTCGAAAAAAAGGACCTCTTGTTGCAGCGTTTAGATCGCCCCTGATGAGGGCACTAGACAGGAGTGTCGAAACGTTGGGTCTATGAATTGTAACTTCTTCGGTTACATTCATTAAATCTGCAAACCAGTATAGCATCAAACTATGTCTGATTTCTGTACGTATTGTACCACTGAACGCGGAAAGAATGGTTGTACATCGAGCGTGAGGAGCATTCGTAAAGGGAACGTTGCGGTCTGTCTGTATTTACAACCCAGCAGTTGTTGCTGTTTCTTGGAGGAATTATGTGTGGAGACCTTCACAATGTCTTGCAAACTGTCAAAATTGACCGATGCAAGGGCATTTCCTGACGAAATTTAAGAATAATGGACTAATATTTTCTTACTCATCATTCACTTTGTTCTATTTTTTTTCTTTCCAAACCCTCTTAGACCCCAAAAACAGAGCAAATTTATACTTTGAGCTACATTTAAAATAAAATAATGACATTTAATCCATACATATTTTTTTAGGGCCTATGGGACAGTGTCGGGTGTTACTTGACTGTAGATCAACAAAAGCCGAACCTCCAGAACCTGTGGAACCCGCGGAACCTGTGGAACCCATGTTTCTTTGTAAAATAATAGTAATCCGATAAAATAAAATCTAAAAAGACCTCAATACTGTCTGAAAGTTCGTTTTCGGGTATAAAGAAGAACACTTTAAAAGAGAAATATGTTTTAACTGTCCTTGATGTCCAACTTCAATTGTGGCGACATTCATAGTACTGGTACAAGCGTAAGAAATGTCATTAAAGCAATCAATTGCATTTTTTTTTTCACAAAAAAATGAATGCTTCCACAGGTTCCACAGGTTCCACAGGTTCCCAGGTTCCCAGGTGCTACAGGTTTCACAGGTTTCACAGGTTTCGCAGGTTTCACAGGTTCTACAAGTTCCACAGGCTCCGCTGGTTCTGGAGGTTCACGGTCTGTTGATCCATAATTTGGTAACACCCAGCTGTTTTAACACACGCAGCCTGTACGTGGTAGCCCGGGAGGTGGTTTTAGATGCCACATATTTGCACGTTTCGGGAAATTACTTGGAATGAATCGTGCAATCCTAAAACCGCGTTTGATACAACCTCTTAGAGATTTCTAATGGAGTTACATCAGAACAATCATTTTAGCTCAAAAATATTTACGCCTCAAAAGTGAACTGAATAAATCAAAAACAGGCGTGAGTGTAATTAAATGCTATCAGCAAGTGTGCTGAGGTGTGAACGAGCTGGAAGGAGCATGCGTGCGTGCCGCCCTAATTAAGTGTGCAATGCTGGTTAGTAGGCAGAATAGCTTAATATACCTTTCAGGATCCAATCGTGAACAAGTGTAATACTTACTTGAAAAAAAACCTTAGACAAGCCAATAAAAATGGTCGAAGTCAAAAGCATAATGCAGTCTGGATAAAAAAATAACGTGACCTTTTCAACTTGAAAAAAAAAAAAAAAAAAACTCCCGGGGGGATTATTGTGACAAGTTGTTTTTAAAGTGATGAGCATTTGGCGAGAAAATATGTAAATTAAAGTACTTTCTTTGTTTCAGAGGCGTGTAGAAGACCAGCGTCAAACGAAACAATAGTTACACTGGGCTAAGTCGTCGAGCAAACCGAACTGAGAAAAATCTTTTAGGTTGGTTTTGATCATTCTTCCTAAATATAAATACAGAGAAAATTTTAAATTATGCGAGATGAAAGTGTGAGAATTTAATTTGATGCGGGAATTGCTAAAATTACAATAGGCCGTGCAGCTGCAAGCGTTCTGCATACTAGAACAAAAACTGTTCAAGCGAAAACTACCAGACCACAATACAGCCAAAGGGAAAAGAATTGAAAGTTATATGGCCATGGATAAACTTGCTCTTGTCTTCAAAAAATTCCTTTCTTCTTAATGTCCAACTCCCTCAAAGATTTAGTTTGGTGGGGCTTGGTCGCGCCTTTGTCGATTAAATCGCAGTGCAGTAAAAAACCGCATTCCAGTTTACTGCGTAAGACTCGTCCCTTACAAATATCACATGTTATATCAAGCTTTGCTCTCTAAACCATAGAAAATTGGCATCTTTCGTTCCTTTGTGCGGAAAACACATGTTATAAATGATTTTTCGTGCATTGATTTTGCTTTTCACGCAGGACGGCTACGCCAAATGAAGTCTTTTGAAAAAACTAAAGATATATTTTAAGTTAAAATTTCGCGAATGGTTGGATGCGTTTACCGTCTCTTACGGCGCCACAAGTTAACCTCAGTGTAATGAATGAAAGCAGCGTTGTTTGATTCCCTACTGCAAAAGCAGCGCGCGTGACCGTTATTTTTGCACCCGCATTTTGTTACATTTCCACCAGTTTCATCACG